ATAACCACATTAAACCCCATTAAACCCCTTTTCCCATCCCATAACAACCTGCGCATCCAATGTGGAGAAGTAGTGCGCGGCGGAGGCCTCGTCAACCCCCATTACACCCCATTAAACCCCATTAAACCCTATTCTAACCCTATTAAACCCCATTGAACCCCATTAAACCCCATTGAACCCCATTATAACCCCATTAAACCCCATTATAACCCCATTAAACCCCTTTTCCCATCCCATAACCACCTGCGCATCCAATGTGGAGAAGTAGTGCGCGGCGGAGGCCTCGTCAACCCCCATTACCCCCATTACTCCCCATTATACCGCATTACACCCCATTAAACCCCATTGAACCCCATTATCCCCCATTAAACCCCATTGAACCCCATTATAACCCCATTATAACCCCATTACCCCCCATTACACCCAATTATCCCCCATTATAACCCCATTAAACCCCATTACAACCCCTTTTTCCATCCCATAACAACCTGTGCGTCCAAGGTGGAGAAGTAGTGCACGGTGGAGGCCTCGTCAACCCCCATTACCCCCCCCATTACACCCATTAAACCCCATTAAACCCCATTGAACCCCATTAAACCCCATTATTCCCCATTATAACCCCATTAAACCCCCTTAAAACCCTTTCTCCATCCCATAACAACCTGGGCGTCTAAGGTGGAGAAGTAGTGCGCGGCGGAGGCCTCGTCAACCCCCATTACCCCCCATTACACCCCATTAAACCCCATTAAACCCCATTCTAACCCCATTTTAACCCCATTGAACCCCATTGAACCCCATTATAACCCCATTATAACCCCATTAAACCCCATTAAACCCCTTTTCCCATCCCATAACAACCTGCGCATCCAATGTGGAGAAGTAGTGCGCGGCGGAGGCCTCGTCAACCCCCATTACCCCCCCCCATTACACCCCATTAAACCCCATTAAACCCCATTGGGACCCCATTATAACCCCATTAAACCCCATTGAACCCCATTATAACCCCATTAAACCCCATTATAACCCCATTAAACCCCATTAAACCCCTTTTCCCATCCCATAACCACCTGCGCATCCAATGTGGAGAAGTAGTGCGCGGCGGAGGCCTCGTCACCCAGGTCGGGCCTGGCGCAGGCCGGACACACGAGGTCCCGCACGCGGCGCTCCCGCACGCCCACCGTGAAGTGGAGCCGGAAGCACTCCGGGCACAGCCAGCACTGACAGCCCGTCAGTACCTGAGCCTGGGACACCAAGGAGGGGGGTTAGGGGGTGGATATGGGGTCTCTATGGGGCTCTATGGGGTCTCTATGGGGCGCTATGGGGTTTCTATGGGGCTCTATGGGGTCTCTATGGGGTTTCTATGCGGCTCTATAGGGATCTATGGGGTCTCTATGGGGTTTCTATGGGGTTTCTATGGGGCTCTATGCGGTCTCTATGGGTGTCTATGGGGTCACTATGGGGCTCTATGGGGCGGCTATAGGGCTCTATAGGGTCTCTATGGGGCTCTATCAGGGTGCTATGGGGGTTCTATGGGGCTCTATGGGGTCTCTATGGGTCTCCATGGGGGCTCTATGGGTCTCTATGGGGTCTCTATGGGGTCTCTATGGGTCTCTATGGGGTCTCTATGGGTCTCTGTGGGGGTCTATGGGGGCTCTATGGGGTCTCTATAGGGGTGTATGGGGTCTCTATGGGGGTCTATGGAGTCTCCATGGGTCTCTATGAGGGCTCTACGGGGTCTCTATGGGTCCCTATGGTCTCTCTATGGGGTCCCTATGGGTCTCTATGGCTCTCTATGGGTCTCTATGGGTCCCTATGGCTCCCTATGGCTCCCTATGGGTCCCCACCTGCTCCCTGGGCAGCGCGGTCCCGCACACGGCGCACTCGCAACGCAGCCTCCGCCTCAGCCCTATGGGTCCTTATGGGTCTCTATGGGGTCCCTATGGGTCCCTATGGGGTCCCTATGGGTCTCTATGGTTCCCTATGGGGTCTCTATGGGTCTCTATGGGTCCCCACCTGCTCCCTGGGCAGCGCGGTCCCGCACACGGCGCACTCGCAACGCAGCCTCCGGCGCAGCTCCTCGGGGTCCCGGCAGCTCCCCACGGCTTCCAGGAGCTCCCGTGGGGCGCGTGGGGCACGGCCCAGCCCCAGTTCTCGCCCCACGGCAACGAAGAGTTGGGCTCGGCCCCAGCTCGCAAGGCCCAGTTCGGCCAAGGCGCGGCGAATAAGGGTCTGGGGGGGGGGGAGACACACGTTGACCCACACATTGACCCACATTGACCCACACATTGAGCCACACTGACTCCCATTGACCCACACATTGACCCACATTGACTCCCATTGACCCACGTTGACCCACATTGACCCACATTGACTCCCACTGACCCCATTGACCCCATAGACCCACATTGACCCCACATTGACCCACATTGACCCACACATTGACCCACATTGACCCACATTGACCAACATTGACCCACGTTGACTCCCATTGACCCACATTGACCCATATTGACTCCCATTGACCCACATTGACCCATATTGACCCACGTTGACACACGTTGACCCACGTTGACATCCATTGACTCCCATTGACATCCATTGACTCCCATTGACCCACATTGACCCACACATTGACACACATTGACCCACATTGAGACACAGTGACCCACACATTGACTCACATTGACCCACACATTGACTCCCATTGACTCCCATTGACCCACATTGACTCACGTTGACTCACATTGACCCACATTGACCCACATGGACCCACATTGACCCACATTGACCCACACATTGACTCCCATTGACCCACATTGACTCCCATTGACCAACATTGACCCACATTGACCCACATTGACTCCCATTGACCAACATTGACCCACATTGACCCACACATTGACCCACATTGACCCACATTGACCCACGTTGACTCACATTGACTCCCATTGACCCCCATTGACCCATATTGACCCACATTGACTCACATTGACCCACATTGAGACACATTGACATCCGTTGACTCCCATTGACCCACATTGACCCACGTTGACCCACGTTGACTCCCATTGACCCACATTGACCCCCATTGACTCCCATTGACTCCCATTGACTCCCATTGACCCATTGACCCCCATTGACTCCCATTGACCCCCATTGACTCCCATTGACTCCCATTGACTCCCATTGACCCACATTGACCCACATTGACCCACATTGACTCCCATTGACTCCCATTGACCCCCATTGACCCCCATTGACCCCCACTGACTCCCATTGACCCCCATTGAGCCCCATTGACTCCCATTGACCCCCATTGACTCCCATTGACATCCATTGACTCCCATTGACCTCCATTGACTCTCATTGACCCACATTGAAACCCCATTGACCCCCATCGCCCCCCATTGACCCACATCAACTCCCATTGATTCCATTGACCCCCATTGACTCCCATTGACTCCCATTGACCCCCATTGACTCCCATTGACTCCCATTGACCCACATTGACTCCCATTGACCCCCATTGACCCCCATTGACTCCCATTAACCCCCATCACCTCCCATTGACTCCCATTGACCCCCATTGACTCCCATTGACCCCCATTGACTCCCATTGACTCCCATTGACCCCCATTGACCCCCATTGACCCCCATTGACTCCCATTGACCCCCATTGACTCCCATTGACCCCCATTGACCCCCATTGACTCCCATTGACCCCCATTGATCCCATTGACCCCCATTGACTCCCATCACCCCCCATTCACCCCCATCTCCCCCCCATTGATGCCATTGACCCCCATCGCCCCCATTGACTCCCATTGCCCCCCATTGCCCCCCATCTCCCCCCATGTCCTCACGTGCTCCTCGGCCTGTTCGAAATCCATGGGGTGGCTCCGTGCGTCCCAGAGGCGGTGCCGGAAGCCTCGGAGCCGTGGGGCCTGCAGTAGGGCCAGGGCCTGCCCCACATCGCCCCCGGCCTCCCGTAGGGCCCGCGCCGACGCCGCCCGCGCCCCATAGCCCAGGGAGGCCAAGGCCCGGAGCTGAGCATGGAAAAGGAAAGAAAGGGGGGGGGGGGGGGGACTTAGCCACGCCCCCTTTTCGGGGCTTAACCACGCCCCTTTCCCTTATATGGATAGGCAGGAGGCATGCCCCTATGCCCTTAGCCACGCCCCTTTCCCTTATATGGATAGCCAGGAGCCATGCCCTTTTCCCTTATATGGATAGGCAGGAGCCATGCCCTTTTCCCTTATATGGATAGACAGGAGCCACGCCCCTCTGCTCTTAGACACGCCCCTTTCCCTTATATGGATACTCAGGAGACACATCCCTTTCCCTTATATGGATACCCACGAGACACGCCCCTTTCCCTTATATGGATAGGCAGGAGACACATCCCCTCTGCTCTTAGCCACGTCCCTTTCCCTTATATGGATATCCAGTGGCCCTGCCCCTCTGCCCTTAGCCATACCCCTTTCCCTTATATGGACACCCAGGAGCCACGCCCCTCTGTCCTTAGCCACGCCCCTTTCCCTTATATGGATACCCAGGAGCCACGCTCTTTTCCCTTATATGGATACCCAGGAGACACGCCCCCTCTGCTCTTAGCCACGCCCCTTTCCCTTATATGGATACCCAGGAGACACGCCCCTTTCCCTTATATGGATACCCAGTGGCCACGCCCCTTTCCCTTATATGGATAGACAGGAGCCACGCCCCTCTGCTCTTAGCCACGCCCCTTTCCCTTATATGGATAGTCAGGTGCCCCGCCCCTTTCCCTTATATGGATAGGCAGGAGACACGCCCCCTCTGCCCTTAGCCACGCCCCTTTCCCTTATATGGACACCCGGAGACACGACCCCTCTGCCCTTAGCCACCCTTTCCCTTATATGGATACCCAGTGGCCACGCCCCTTTCCCTTATATGGACAGCCAGGAGCCACCCCCCTCTGCCCTTATATGGATACCCAGGAGACACGCCCCTTTCCCTTATATGGACAGACAGGAGCCACGCCCCCTCTGCTCTTAGCCACGCCCCTTTCCCTTATATGGATACCAAGAAGCCACGCCCCTTTCCCTTATATGGACACCCAAGAGACAACCCCCCCTCTCCCCTTAGCCACGCCGCTTTCCCTTATATGGATACCCAGGAGACACACCCCCTCAGCCCTTAGCCACGCCCCTTTCCCTTATAAGCATACCCAAGAGCCACGCCCCTTTCCCTTATATGGATAGCCAGGAGACACACCCCTTTCCCTTATATGGATAGACAGGAGCCACGGCCCTTTCCCTTATATGGACACCCAGGAGACACGCCCCTCCTCTGCTCTTAGCCACGCCCCTTCCCCTGATATGGATACTCAGGAGCCACGCTCTTTTCCCTTATATGGATACCCAGGAGACACGCCCCCTCTGCTCTTAGCCACGCCCCTTTCCCTTATATGGATACCCAGGAGACACGCCCCTTTCCCTTATATGGATACCCAGTGGCCACGCCCCTTTCCCTTATATGGATACACAGGTGCCACGCCCCTTTCCCTTATATGGACAGACAGGAGCCACGCCCCCTTCCTTATACAGACAGGAGCCACGCCCCTCTGCTCTTAGCCACACCCCTTTCCCTTATATGGATAGCCAGGAAACACACCCCTTTCCCTTATATAGACAGACAGGAGACACACCCCCTTTGCTCTTAGCCATGCCCCTTTCCCTTATATGGATACCCAGTGGCCACGCCCCTTTCCCTTATATGGACAGGAGACACGCCCCTCTGCTCTTAGCCACGCCCCTTTCCCTTATATGGATACCCAGGAGCCACGCCCCTTTCCCTTATATGGACAGGAGACACGCCCCTTTCCCTTATATGGATACACAGGACCCATGCCCCTCTGTCCTTAGCCATGCCCCTTTCCCTTATATGGATACTCAGGAGCCACGCCCCTTTCCCTTATATGGCTACCCAGGAGACACACCCCTCCTCGGCTCTTAGCCACGCCCCTTTCCCTGATATGGATAACCAGGAGACACACCCCTTTCCCTTATATGGATACCCAGGAGACACACACCTCCTCTGCTCTTAGCCACACCCCTTTCCCTTATATGGATAGCCAGGAGCCACACCCTTTTCCCTTATATGGATAGACAGGAGCCACGCCCCTCTCAGCTCTGCCTCCTTTCGACCTTATATGGACACCCAGGAGCCACGCCCCTTTCCCTTATATGGACAGGCAGTAGTGCCGCCCATCTGCTCTTAGCCACGCCCCTTTCCCTTATATGGATACCCAGGAGACACGCCCCTTTCCCTTATATGGACAGACAGGAGCCACGCCCCCTTTGCCCTTAGCCACGCCCCTTTCCCTTATATGGATACTCAGGAGCCACATCCCTTTCCCTTATATGGATACCCAGGAGCCATGCCCCTTTCCCTTATATGGACAGACAGGAGCCATGCCCCTTTCCCTTATATGGATACCCAGGAGACACACCCCCTCTGCTCTTAGCCACGCCCCTTTCCCTTATATGGATACACAGGAGACACGCCCCCTGCCCTTAGCCACGCCCCTTTCCCTTATATGGATACCAAGAAGCCACGCCCCTTTCCCTTATACGGATACCCAGGAGACACGCCCCTTTCCCTTATATGGACAGCCAGGAGCCACGCCCCTCTGCCCTTAGCCACGCCCCTTTCCCTTATATGGATAGCCGGTGCCACGCCCCTTTCCCTTATATGGACAGCCAGGAGCCACGCCCCTCTGCCCTTATATGGATACCCAGGAGCCACGTCCCTTTCCCTTATATGGCTAACCATTAGCCCCCCCCCCCTTTCCCTTATATGGGTAACCATTAGCCCCCCCCCATTACCCTTATTAGACACCCCTTAACCCCTCCCCTTTGCCCTTATATGCACACCCATTAGCCCCATCCCCTCTCCTTAGCCCCTCCCCTTTCCTTTATATGGATACCCCTTAGGCTCCCACCCTTTTTGCCTTATATGGATACCCCTTAGCCCCTCCCCTTTCCCCCTCCCCTTCTCCCTCATTGGCTGCCCATTAGCCCCTCCCCTTCTTGGCTCTTACCCCTTCCCCTTTACCCTTATTTGCATACCCTTGGGCCCCTCCCCTTCTCCCCCTTAGCCCCTCCCCTTCTCCCTCATTGGCCGCCCATTAGCCCCTCCCCTTCTGCCTTATATGGACACCCATTCCCCCCCCCCTTAGCCCCTCCCCTTCTCCCTCATTGGCTACCCATTAACCCCTCCCTTTTTGCCTTATATGAACACCCATTCCCTCTTAGCCCCTCCCCTTCTCCCCCATTGGCTACCCATTAACCCCTCCCTTTTTGCCTTATATGGACACCCATTCTCCCCCCCTTCTCCCCCATTGGCCGCCCATTAACCCCTCCCTTTTTGCCTTATATGGACACCCATCCCCACCCCTTAGCCCCTCCCATTCTCCCTCATTGGCTACCCATTAACCCCTCCCTTTCTCCCTTACATGGACAACCATTACCCCCCCTTAGCCCCTCCTCTTCTCCCTCATTGGCTACCCATTAACCCCTCCCTTTCTCCCTTACATGGACAACCATTACCCCCCCTTAGCCCCTCCTCTTCTCCCTCATTGGCTACCCATTAACCCCTCCCTTTCTCCCTTATATGGACACCCATTCCCCCCCCCTTAGCCCCCCCCCTTCTCCCCCATTGTCTGCCCCTTAGCTCCTCCCTTTCTCCCTTATATGGACACCCATTCCCCCCCCCCGCTTAGCCCCTCCCTTTCGCCCCCATTGGCAGCCCATTAGCCCCTCCCCTTCTGCCTTATATGGACACCCATTCCCCCCCTTAGCCCCTTCTTCCTCATTGGCTGCCCATTAGCCCCTCCCCTTCTCCCTTATATGGACACCCATTCCCCCCCTTACCCCCTCCCCTTCTCCCCCATTTGCTACCCATTAACCCCTCTTTTTTTGCCTTATATGGACACCCATTCCCCACCCCCTTCTCCCTCATTGGCTGCCCATTAACCCCTCCCTTTTTGCCTTATATAGACACCCATTCCCCCCTTAGCCCCTCCCCTTTTCCCCCTTGGCTACCCATTAACCCCTCCCTTTTTGCCTTATATGGACACCCATTCCCCCCCCCTTCTCCCTCATTGGCTGCCCATTAACCCCTCCCTTTTTGCCTTATATGGACACCCATCCCCCCCCCCCTAGCCCCTCCCCTTCTCCCCCATTGGCCCCCCCTTAGCTCCTCCCCTTCTCCCCCATTGGCCCCCCCCCTTAGCCCCTCCCCTTCATCCCCATTGGCCCCCCCTTACCCCCTCCCCTTCTCCCCCATTGGCCCCCCTTAGCCCCTCCCCTTCTCCCCCATTGCCCCCCCCTTAGCCCCTCCCCTTCATCCCCATTGGCCCCCCCTTACCCCCTCCCCTTCTCCCCCATTGGCCCCCCTTAGCCCCTCCCCTTCTCCCCCAGCCCCTCCCCTTCTCCCCCATTGGCCCCCCTTACCCCCTCCCCTTCATCCCCATTGGCCGCCCCTTACCCCCTCCCCGTCTCCCCCATTGGCCCCCCCTTAGCTCCTCCCCTTCTCCCCCATTGGCCCCCATTAGCCCCTCCCCTTCTCCCCCATTGTCCGCCCATTAGCCCCTCCCCTTCTCCCCCATTGGCCCCCATTAGCCCCTCCCCTTCTCCCTCATTGGCTGCCCCTTAGCTCCTCCCCTTCTCACCTGCATCCGCCTGCGCCCCAGGCAGGCCCGCAGCGCCCCCTCCGCCTGCCCCATAGCTCGGGCCCAGCCCCACGCCGCCTCCTGCAGGGACAGGGCCCCCAAGGGACCCCCGGGCTCCGGAGCCCCACGGAGCCCCACGGCGGAGGCCAGGAGCCACAGAAGCCGGGGGGAAGCAGGGGGGGGGAATGGGAGAGGGGAGCCACCGAGCTCGGAGGCCTGGGGGGAGAGAGACAGGGACACATAGGGACCCACAGAGACCCATAGGGACACATAGAGACCCCATAGAGACCCCATAGGGACCCCATAGAGGACCCCATAGAGACCCATAGGGAGCCATAGGGACCCATAGGGACACATAGGGAACCCATAGAGCCCCCATAATGGGCCCATAGAGGCCCATAGGGAACCATAGAGACCCATAGGGACACATAGAAACCCCATAGAGACCCATAGAGACCCCATAATGGCCCATAGAGGCCCATAGGAACCCCATAGAGACCCCACAGAGACCCATAGAGACCCACAGGGAACCCATAGGAAGCCATAGGGACCCACACAGGCCCATAGAGACCCCATAGGGACCCACTGAAAGCCACAGAGACCCCATAGGGACCCCATAGAGACCCCATAGAGACCCATAAAGACCCATAGGGACCCCATAGGGACTCCAGAGACCCATAGAGAATCCAATAGAGACCCCATAGAGACCCATAGGGACCCACAGAGACCCCATACGGACCCACAGAGACCCCATACAGACCCATAAGGACCCATTGGCTGCCGTGCCACGCACACGTAGACCCCATAGACCCCATAGACCCCAACAGACCCCAATAGACATAGACCCCAATAGACCCCAATAGTCCCCATAGACCCCAACAGACCCCAATAGACCCCATAGACCCCAATAGACCCCTATAGACCCCATAGACCCCATAGCGCCCCCCATAGCGACTCACAGGCCACGTGCAGCTCGAGGCTGCGGTTGTGGCTGCCGTGCCGGTTCTCGGCCACGCACACGTAGACCCCATAGACCCCATAGACCCCAATAGACCCCATAGACCCCATAGACCCCAATAGACCCCAATAGACCCCATAGACCCCAATAGACCCCATAGACCCCAATAGATCCCCATAGACCCTCCATTGACCACCCCATAGACCCCATAGCGCCCCCCATGGTGACTCACAGGCCACGTGCAGCTCGAGGCTGCGGTTGTGGCTGCCGTGCCGGTTCTCGGCTACGCACACGTAGACCCCATAGACCCCATAGACCCCATAGACCCCCATAGACCCTCCATTGACCACCCCATAGACCCCATAGACCCCATAGACCCCAATAGACCCCATAGACCCCAATAGACCCCATAGACCCCAATAGACCCCATAGACCCCCATAGACCCCGTAGACTCCAATAGACCCCAATAGACCCCATAGACCCCATAGACCCCAATAGACCCCATAGACCCCAATAGACCCCATAGACCCCAATAGACCCCAATAGACCCCATAGACCCCATAGACCCCAATAGACCCCAATAGACCCCCATAGACCCCAATAGACCCCATAGACCCCATAGACCCCAATAGACCCCAATAGACCCCAATAGACCCCATAGACCCCAATAGACCCCCATAGACCCCAATAGACCCCAATAGACCCCAATAGACCCCCATAGACCCCATAGACCCCAATAGACCCAATAGACCCCAATAGACCCCATAGACCCCAATAGACTCCAATAGACCCCAATAGACCCCATAGACCCTCCATTGACCACCCCATAGACCCCATAGCGCCCCCCATGGTGACTCACAGGCCACGTGCAGCTCGAGGCTGCGGTTGTGGCTGCCGTGCCGGTTCTCGGCCACGCACACGTAGACCCCATAGACCCCATAGACCCCAATAGACCCCATAGACCCTCCATTGACCACCCCATAGACCCCATAGACCCCATAGACCCTCCATTGACCACCCCATAGACCCCATAGCGCCCCCCATGGTGACTCACAGGCCACGTGCAGCTCGAGGCTGCGGTTGTGGCTGCCGTGCCGGTTCTCGGCCATGCACACGTAGACCCCATAGACCCCATAGACCCCCATAGACCCTCCATTGACCACCCCATAGACCCCATAGACCCCATAGACCCAATAGACCCCATAGACCCCTCCATTGACCACCCCATAGCGCCCCCCATGGTGACTCACAGGCCACGTGCAGCTCGAGGCTGCGGTTGTGGCTGCCGTGCCGGTTCTCGGCCACGCACACGTAGGTGCCGGCATCGTCGGGGGCCAGGTGGGGCAGGGGCAGCTCGAGGCGCTCGGCCCCCGGCTCCTCCCTCAACAAGGCCGCCCCACGGAACCACGAGAGCAACGGCGCCGGCCGCCCCTCGGCAACGCACGCCAGCGCCGCCGCCGAGCCCTCCAAGGCCTCCGGGGGGCCCTCCACCGACAGCACCTGTGGGGGGACTTGGGGGGGGACACACATGGACATGCAATGGGGTGAGATGAAAGTGAGGGGAAATCGACACGAAACGCAAGGGAATTGACACAAAATGCAAGGGAATCGACCCAAAACGCAAGGAAATCGACACAAAATGCAAGGAAATCGACCCAAAATGCAAGGAAATCGACCGAAAGCACAAGGGAATTGACACAAAATGCAAGGGAATCGACACAAAACGCAAGGGAATTGACACAAAACGCAAGGGAATCGACCCGAAACGCAAGGAAATTGACCCAAAATGCAAGGAAATCGACCCAAAACTCACGGAAATAGACAAAATCTCAGGGAAATTGACACAAAACGCAAGGAAATTGACCCAAAATGCAAGGAAATCGACCCAAAATTCAAGGAAATTGACACAACCTCAGGGGAATTGACACAAAACTGACGGAAATCGACAAAACTCATGGAAATAGACAAAAAACTCAACGAAGTTGACCTAAAACTCAACGAAGATGACCTAAAACTCAACGAAGTTGACCCAAGACTCAACGAAGATGACCTAAAAGTCAACGAAGTTGACCCAAAACTCAACGAAGTTGACCCAAACCTCAATGAAGATAGCCTAAAACTCAACAATTGACCCAAAACCCAACGAAATTGACCCAAACCTCAACGAAGATGACCCAAAATTCAAGGAAGATGACCTAAAACTCAATGAAATTGACCCAAATCTCAACGAAATTGACCTAAAACTCAACGAAGATGACTGAAAACTCAATGATATTGACCCAAAACTCAACGAAGATGACCTAAAACTCAACAAAATTTACCCAAAACCCAACGAAATTGACCCAAACCTCAACGAAATTGACCCAAAACTCAACGAAATTGACCCAAACCTCAACGAAGATGACCCAAAACTCAACGAAGATGACCTAAAACTCAACGAAATTTACGCAAAACTCAACGAAGATGACCTAAAACTGAACAAAATTTACCCAAAACCCAACGAAATTGACCCAAAACTCAACAAAATTGACTTAAAACTCAACGAAGTTGACTTAAACTCAACGGTTGACCCAAACCTCAACGAAGATGACCCAAAACTCAACAAAATTGACCCAAAACCCAACGAAATTGACCCAAACCTCAATGAAATCGCCCCCCATCGCCCCCCCCATAGCCCACCCCATATCTCACAGTGCACATCGAGCGCCACGGAGGCCTGGAAGGCCAAGGAGCTGTTGTCGAAGTCCACGCGGCAGCGGAGGCGGCGCCCGTCGTCGTGGCGTCGGGGCCGGAAGCGGAGCAGGGCCAGGAGGGAGGCGTCGCCGTGGGCGTCGAGGCGGGATTCCCGTTGGGAAAGGTCGGGAAGCTCGTGGGTCCCGTCCCAGGAGATGTGGGGCAGGAGGTGGGGGCAGTTGTCCGGCACGCGGCACCGAAACTCCGCCATGCGCCCGGCTACCAGAGCCGGGGGGAGCTCGAGGGTGGGTTCCTCTGTGGGGTGGGGAGTGTGGGGTGGGGGATGTGGGGCGGAAGGGGGGGAGATGGGGGGTGATGGGGGGGAGATGGGGGGGATGGGGTGGGGATGGGGTACACATAATGGTACCCAAAGCACCCAGCACCCCATAGTGGCACCCAGCACCCCCATAATGCCCCCCATCAGCCCCACACCGCCCCCCATCACCCCCATAAGGACCCCCATCGCCCCCATAACGCCCCCCACCACCCCCATACCGCCCCCCATCACTCCCATACCACCCCCCATCACCCCCATACCACCCCCCATCACCCCCATACCGCCCCCCATCACCCCCATACCGCCCCCCATCACCCCCATAATGCCCTCCACCACCCCCATAACACCCCCCATCACCACCATACCGCCCCCCATCACCCCAATAGTGGTACCCATCACCCCCATACGGCCCCCCATCACCCCATACCACCCCCCATCGCCCCCATAATGACCCCCATCACCCCATAACACCCCCATCACCCCCATAATGCCCTCCACCACCCCCATACCGCCCCCCATCACCCCCATAAAGCCCCCCATCACCCCCATAACACCCCCCATCACCCCCATAATGCCCCCATCACCCCCATAACACCCCCCATCACCCCCATACCACCCCCCATCACTCCCATACCGCCCCCCATCACCCCCATACCGCCCCCCATCACCCCCATAACACCCCCCATACCACCCCCCATCACCCCCATAATGCCCCCCACCACCCCCATACCACCCCCCACCACCCCAATAATGGTACCCCCCCCATCACCCCCATAATCCCTCCCCACCCCCCCATCCCCCATACCCAACACACGGAGGTCAGCATGCTCGGCGAAGCTGTACTGGTTGTAGCCCCCCAAGTCCCCCCGGAAGTAATAACGACCGCTCAACTCGGGCCCTATGGGGGGCCCCAACAACAAGGAGCAGTCGCGACGATTGGGGTCCCCCAAAAGCATCGCCCTCCCTTCGAAGCTCTCGTGAACGGGGCCCCCCCGAGAACGGGCTACGACGGGGGGGTAATGTTTGGGGTACGGGCTCCCGAAGTACCAAAGGCCGTGGATGGAAGCGGGGCGAAGCTCTTCGGGGTAGCCGAAACGACACGGGATGGAGACGCAGGTGCCAGAGAGGGAGGAGAGGGACGGGGGCATCCAGGCGGCCCAGGGAGAGGCGGGGGTGCCTAGGGAAGGGAGGTATTAGGGGGAATAATGGGGTTATTAGGGGTAATAATGGGGTTATTAGGGGTAATAATGGGGTTATTAGGGGTATTAATGGGGTTATTAGGGCTAATAATGGAGTTATTACGGGTAATAATGGGTTTGGGGTGTTTATTAGGGGTAATAATGGAGTTATTAGGGCTAATAATAGGTTTGGGGTGTTTATTAGGGGTAATAATGGAGTTATTAGGGGTTATTAATGGGGTTATTAGGGGTAATAATGGCGTTATTAGGGCTAATAATGGGTTTGGGGGGTTTATTAGGGGTAATAATGGAGTTATTAGGGGGAATAATGGCGTTATTAGGGGTAATAATGGCGTTATTAGGGTTATTAATGGGGTTATTAGGGGGAATAATGGGGTTATTAGGGCTAATAATGGGTTTGGGGTGTTTATTAGGGGTAAAAGTGGAGTTATTAGGGGTAATAATGGGTTTGGGGGGTTTATTAGGAGTAATAATGGGGTTATTAGGGGTAATAATGGCGTTATTAGGGTTATTAATGGGGTTATTAGGGGTAATAATGGGGTTATTAGGGGTAATAATGGGGTTATTAGGGGTAATAATGGAGTTATTAGGGGTAATAATGGGGTTATTAGGGGTAATAATGGAGTTATTAGGGGTAATAATGGGTTTGGAGCGTTTATTTGGGCTAATAATAGGATTATTCGGGCTAATAATAGAGTTATTCAGGTTAATAATGGGGTTATTAGGGGTAATAATGGGTTTGGGGGGTTTATTAGGGGTAATAATAGGATTATTAGGGGTATTAATGGGGTTATTAGGGCTAGTAATGGGGTTATTAGGGGTAATAATGGGGTTATTAGGGGTAATAATGCTTTTATTAGGGTAATAATGGGGTTATTAGGGGTAATAATGGGATTTGAAGGTTTATTAGGGCTAAGAATGGAATTATTAGGGCTAATAATAGAGTTATTAGGGTATTAATGGGGTTATTAGGGCGAATAATGGGGTTATTGGGGGGTTATTAGGGGTAATAATGGGGTTATTAGGGGGAATAATGGGGGTTTATTAGGGCTAAGAATGGAATTATTAGCAGTAATAATAGAGTTATTGGGGGTATTAATGGATTTTGGAGATTATTAGGGTTAATAATGGGGTTATTATGGCTAATAATGGGGTTATTGGGGGTAATAATGGGGTTATTAGGGCTAATAATGGGATTTGGGGGTTTATTAGGGGTTAAGGGGTAATGGGGTTTATTAGGGCTTATTAGGGTAATAATAATAGGGTTATTAATGGGGTTATTAGGGGTAATATTAATTGGGGTTATTAGGGCTAATAATGGGATTTGGGGTTATTAGGGGCTAATAATAGAGTTATTAATAATGGGGTTATTATTAATGGGATTATTAGCGGTAATAATGGGGTTATTGGGGTAATAATGGGGTTATTATAATAATGGGTTATTATAATGGGGTTATTAGGGCTAATAATGGAGTTATTAGGGTTAATAATGCCGTTATTAGGGCTAATAATGGAGTTATTAGGGCTAATAACGGAATTATTAGGGCTAATAATAGGTTATTAGGGCTAATAATAATTAAGGTCTAATTAGTTAGGGGTAATAATGGGGTTGTTAGGGGCTAGTTTATTGGGGTTATTAGGGGTAATAATGGGGTTATTAGGGTTATTAATGGGGTTATTAGGGCTAATAATGGGGTTATTAGGGGTAATAATAGAGTTATTACAGGTAATAATGGGGTTATTGGGGGAATAATGGGGTTATTAGCGGGAATAATGGGGTCGGGGCGTTTATTAAGGGTAATAATAGGATTATTAGGGTTAATAATGGCGTTATTACAGCTATTAATGGGGTTATTAGGGCTAATAACGGGGTATTAGGGCTAACAATGGGGTTATTCCTGCTAATAAGGGGGTTTTGTGGCTAATAACGGGGTTTCAGGGCTAATAACGGGGTGTTTGGGGGTAATAACGGGGTTTGGGGTCTATTAACGGGGTTTTGGGGTTAATAACGGGGTTTTGGGTTCTATTAACGGGGTTTTGGGGTTAATAACGGGGTTTTGGGGTTGATAACGGGGTTTTGGGGTCTATTAACGGGGTTTTGGGGTTAATAACGGGGTTTTGGGGTTAATAACGGGGTTTTGGGTTAATAACGAGGTTTTGGGTCTATTAACGGGGTTTTGGGGTTAATAACGAGGTTTTGGGGTCTATTAACGGGGTTTTGGGGTTATTAACGGGGTTTTGGGTTCTATTAACGGGGTTTTGGGGGTTTTGGGTCTATTCGGGGTTTTGGGTCTATTAACGGGGTTTTGGGGTTAATAACGGGGTTTTGGGGTCTATTAACGGGGTTTTGGGTCTATTAACGGGGTTTTGGGGTTAATAACGGGGTTTTGGGGTCTATTAACGGGGTTTTGGGTCTATTAACGGGGTTTTGGGGTCTATTAACGGGGTTTTGGGGTTAATAACGAGGTTTTGGGGGGTTTTGGGGTCTATTACCGGGGTTTTGGGTCTATTAACGGGGTTTTGGGTCTATTAACGGGGTTTTGGGGTCTAATAACGGGGTTTTGGGGTTTATAACGGGGTTTTGGGGTTTATAACGGGGTTTTGGGTCTATTAACGGGGTTTTGGGTCTATTAACGGGGTTTTGGGGTCTATTAACGGGGTTTTGGGGTTAATAACGAGGTTTGGGGTTAATAACGGGGTTTTGGGTTAATAACGGGGTTTTGGAGTCTATTAACGGGGTTTTGGGGTTAATAACGGGGTTTTGGGTTCTATTAACGGGGTTTTGGGGTCTATTAACGGGGTTTTGGGGTTAACGGGGTTTTGGGGTTAATAACGGGGTTTTGGGTCTATTAACGGGGTTTTGGGTCTATTAACGGGGTTTTGGGGTTAATAACGGGGTTTTGGGTCTATTAACGGGGTTTTGGGGTTAATAACGGGGTTTTGGGGTTAATAACGGGGTTTTGGGGTTAATAACGGGGTTTTGGGTCTATTAACGGGGTTTTGGGGTCTATTAACGGGGTTTTGGGTCTGTTATGGGGGTTTTGGGTCTATTAACGAGGTTTTGGGTCTCTTAACGGGGTTTTGGGGTTAATAACGGGGTTTTGAGTCTCTTAACGGGGTTTTGGGTTAATAACGAGGTTTTGGGGTCTATTAACGGGATTTTGGGTCTATTAACGGGGTTTTGGGGTTAATAACGGGGTTTTGGGATTAATAACGGGGTTTTGGGGTCTATTAACGGGGTTTTGGGTCTATTAACGGGGTTTTGGGGTTAATAACGGGGTTTTAGGGTTAATAACTGGGTTTTGGGTCTATTAACGGGGTTTTGGGGTTAATAACGGGGTTTTGGGGTCTATTAACGGGGTTTTGGGGTTAATAACGGGGTTTGGGGGTCTATTAACGGGGTTTTGGGGTTAATAACGGGGTTTTGGGGTCTATTAACGGGGTTTTGGGGTTAATAACGGCGTTTTGGGTCTCTTAACGGGGTTTTGGGGGTCTATTAATGGGGTTTTGGGTCTATTAACGGGGTTTTGGGTCTATTAACGGGGTTTTGGGGTCACCTGGGGGCAGCAGCAGCAGCGCCGCGGGGAGGGCTGCGAGGAACGGCCACATGGGGGCGCTGTGGGGCGGAGGGGGAGCTATGGGGCACATCCCATAATACCCCTGCCCCACATCCATCCCATAACACCCCCCAGCCCCACATCCACCCTATAACTCCCCCTGCCCCACATCCACCCCATAACACCCCCTGCCCCACATCCACCCCCCTGCCCCACATCCACCCCATAACACCCCCCTGCCCCACATCCACCCCCCTGCCCCACATCCACCCCATAACACCCCCCTGCCCCACATCCACCCCCCTGCCCCACATCCACCCCCCTGCCCCACCTCCACCCCCCCAGCCCCACATCCACCCCATAACACCCCCAGCCCCACATCCACCCCATAACTCCCCCAGCCCCACATCCATCCCATAACTCCCCCTGCCCCACATCCACCCCATAACACCCCCCAGCCCCACACATCCACCCCCCCTGCCCCACATCCGCCCCATAACACCCCCTGCCCCACATCCACCCCATAACACCCCCCTGCCCCACATCCATCCCATAACACCCCCCTGCCCCACATCCACCCCATAACACCCCCTGCCCCACATCCACCCCATAACACCCCCCAGCCCCACATCCACCCCCCCTGCCCCACATCCACCCCATAACACCCCCCTGCCCCACATCCACCCCATAACACCCCACATCCCCACATCCACCCCCCTGCCCCACATCCACCCCATAACACCCCCCCTGCCCCACATCCACCCCATAACACCCCCCAGCCCCACATCCACCCCATAACACCCCCCCTGCCCCACATCCACCCCATAACACCCCCCAGCCCCACATCCACCCCATAACCCCCCCAGCCCCACATCCACCCCATAATAACACCCCCCTGCCCCCATCCACCCCATCCACCCCCCTGCCCCACATCATAACACCCCCCTGCCCCACATCCACCCCATAACTCCCCCTGCCCCACATCCACCCCCGTGCCCCACATCCACCCCATAACACCCCCCTGCCCCACATCCACCCCATAACAACCCCTGCCCCACATCCACGCCCTGCCCCACAGCCCCACATCCACCCCCCAGCCCCACATCCACCCCATAACACCCCACATCCACCCCATAACACCCCCCAGCCCCACATCCACCCCATAACACCCCCAGCCCCACATCCACCCCATAACACCCCCCCTGCCCCACATCCACCCCCCTGCCCCACATCCACCCCCCACCCCACATCCATCCCATAATACCCCCCCATTGATCCCATTGGTCCAACCCCAACCCTGGCTCTCCCCCCCCCCCCCCCCATGGGTCCTCCCACGCCCTAGGGGGCGCATTCCTCTCGCGCCGTTGCCCCTCCCACGGCCCCATAGAGGACAATGGGACCCTGTGTGTGCGCCCCCATAAGTGGGGGGACCCATGGGGGATCTATGGGGTCTATGGGGTCCATTGGGGTCTATGGGGCTCCATTGGGGTCTATGGGGTCTATGGGGCTCCACTGGGGTCTATGGGGCTCCATTGGGGTCTATGGGGCTCTATAGGGGTCTATGGGGCTCCATTGGGGTCTATGGGGTCCATTGGGGTCTATGGGGCTCTATTGGGGTCTATGGGGCTCCATTGGGGTCTATGGAGGTCTATTGGGGGTCTATGGGGTCTATGGGGCGCCATTGGGGTCTATGGGGCTCCATTGGGGTCTATGGGGATCTATTGGGGTCTATGGGGGTCTATGGGGTCTATGGGGTTCCATTGGGGTCTATGGGGCTCCATTGGGGTCTATGGGGCTCTATTGGGGTCTATGGGGGTCTATGGGGTCAATGGGGCTCTCTAGGGGTCTATGGGGCTCTATAGGGTCTATGGGGCTGCATTGGGGTCTATGGGGGTCTATGGGGTCTATGGGGTTCCATTGGGGTCTATGGGGGTCTATGGGGCTCTATTGGGGTCTATGGGGCTCCATTGGGGTCTATGGGGCTCTATAGTGGTCTATGGGGCTCTATGGGGCTCTATAGGGGTCTATGGGGCTCTATTGGGGTCTATGGGGCTCTATGGGGTCTATGGGGCTCTATTGGGGTCTATGGGGCTCTATTGGGGTCTATGGGGTCTATGGGGCTCTATAGGGGTCTATGGGGTTCCAGTGGGGTCTATGGGGCTCTATAGGGGTCTATGGGGCTCCAGTGGGGTCTATGGGGCTCTACTGGGGTCTATGGGGCTCTATTGGGGTCTATGGGGGTCCATGGGGGTCTGTGGGCTCTATGGGGCTCCATTGGGGTCTATGGGGCTCTACTGGGGTCTATGGGGCTCCATGGGTTTCTATGGGTCTCTGTGGGTTTCTATGGGTCTCTATAGGGTCCCCATGGGTCTCTATGGGTCCCAATGGGTCTCTATGGGTCTCTATGGGTCCCAATGGGTCTCTATGGGGTCCCCATGGGTCTCTATGGGTCTCTATGGGTCTCCGCCCCCCTCCCCCCTCTGTGCCCCCCACATCCCAGGGGGGGGGGGGGGGGGGGGGAGGGGCGGTCCCAGCGGCGCCTGGCGCCGCCAGCGCGGCCACAAGGGGCCGTTTGTCCAACGTGATGACGTCACCGGGGGACGTAAAGGGGGGGGGAACATCTGGGGCTGTGGGGGGCGGGGGGGGGGTCCCATGGAGTCAAGGGGGGACCCATAGGGGTCTATGGGGGGGACACAGAGGGAGCTATAGGGCTTCCATAGGGGTCTATGGGGCAGCTATAGGGAGCTATGGGGCAGCCATAGGGAGCTATAGGGCAGCCATAGGGAGCTATGGGGCAGGCATAGGGGTCTATGGGGCAGCCATAGGGAGCTATGGGGCAGCCATAGGGAGCTATGGGGCAGGCATAGGGGTCTATGGGGCAGCCATAGGGGTCTATGGGGCAGCCATAGATAGGGGTCTATGGGGCAGCCATAGGGAGCTATAGGGCAGCCATAGGGAGCTATGGGGCACCTATAGGGAGCTATAGGGCTTCCATAGGGGTCTATGGGGCAGCCATAGGGGTCTATGGGGCAGCTATAGGGAGCTATGGGGCACCTATAGGGAGCTATAGGGCTTCCATAGGGGTCTATGGGGCAGCTATAGGGAGCTATAGGGCAGCCATAGGGCTCAATGGGACACCCATAGGGATCAATGGGGCACCCATAGGGATCAATGGGGCACCCATAGGGCTCTATAGGGCACCCATAGGGATCAATGGGGCACCCATATCAATGGGGCACCCATAGGGCTCTATAGGGCACCCATAGGAATCAATGGGGCACCCATAGGGCTCAATGGGGCACCCATAGGGCTCTATAGGGCACCCATAGGGATCAATGGGGCACCCATAGGGCTCTATAGGGCACCCATAGGGATCAATGGGGCACCCATAGGGCTCTATGGGGCACCCATAGGGATCAATGGGGCACCCATAGGGATCAGTGGGGCACCCATAGGAATCAATGGGGCACCCATAGGATCAATGGGGCACCCATAGGGCTCAATGGGGCACCCATAGGGCTCTATAGGGCACCCATAGGAATCAATGGGGCACCCATAGGGATCAATGGGGCACCCATAGGGCTCAGTGGGGCACCCATAGGGCTCAATGGGGCACCCATAGGGATCAATGGGGCACCCATAGGGCTCTATAGGGCACCCATAGGGATCAATGGGGCACCCATAGGGATCAATGGGGCACCCATAGGGCTCAATGGGGCACCCATAGGAATCAATGGGGCACCCATAGGGCTCAATGGGGCACCCATAGGGATCAATGGGGTACCCATAGGGCTCAATGGGGCACCCATAGGGCTCAATGGGGCACCCATAGGGATCAGTGGGGCACCCATAGGGATCAATGGGGCACCCATGGACCTACCTCTGTGGGTCCGAGGCTCCGGGTGCTGAGTGTGGGGCGGGCACAAAGGGGGTTATAAAGGGGGGAGGGGAGGGACCAAGGGGCGGGGTCAAGTTGGGGGGCGGAGCCATCGGGGCCCATCCGGAACTCGGGGCCCCCCCCTGGGGACCCCCACCTGCATGGGAGTGGGGCAGTGTGGAGCCTATGGAGCCCCATAGAGCCCTATGGAGCCCCATTGATCCCTATGGGTGCCCCACTGATCCCTATGGGTGCCCCACTGATCCCTATGGGTGCCCCATTGATCCCTATGGGTGCCCCACTGATCCCTATGGGTGCCCCATGAGCCCTATGGGTGCCCTTTGGGTGAGCCCTATGGGTGCCCCATTGATCCCTATGGGTGCCCCATGCCCTATCCCTATGGGTGCCCCGTAGAGCCCTATGGGAGCCCCATTGTCCCTATGGGTGCCCCATTGATCCCTATGGGTGCCCCATTGATCCCTATGGGTGCCCCATTGATCCCTATGGGTGCCCTATAGAGCCCTATGGGTGCCCCATTGATCCCTATGGGTGCCCTATAGAGCCCTATGGGTGCCTCATTGATCCCTATGGAGCCCCATAGAGCCCTATGGGTGCCCCACTGAGCCCTATGGGTGCCCCACTGATCCCTATTTGTGCCCCATTGAGCCCTATGGGTGCCCCATGGCCCCACAGAGCCCATCCCCATTCCCTATGGGTGCCCTATAGAGCCCTATGGGTGCCCCACTGATCCCTATGGGTGCCCCATTGATCCCTATGGAGCCCCATTGAGCCCTATGGGTGCCCCATTGTTCCCTATGGGTGCCCCACTGGTCCCTATGGGTGCCCCACTGAGCCCTATGGGTGCCCCATGTCCCTATGGGTGCCCCATGGGCTGTCCCCATGTCCCTATGGGTGCCCCATGTCCCTGTGGGTGCCCCATGGGCTGTCCCCATGTCCCTATGGGTGCCCCACTGATCCCTATGGGTGCCCCATTGATCCCTATGGGTGCCCCACTGATCCCTATGGGTGCCCCATTGATCCCTATGGGTGCCCCATTGAGCCCTATGGGTGCCCCATGTCCCTATGGGTGCCCCATGTCCCATCCCCATGTCCCTATGGGTGCCCCATGGGCTGTCCCCATGTCCCTATGGGTGCCCCATGTCCCTATGGGTGCCCCATGGATCCCTATGGGTGCCCTATAGAGCCCTATGGGTGCCCCATGATCCCTATGGTGCCCCATGCCCCTATGGGTGCCCCACTCCCTATGGGTGCCCCATCCCTATGGGTGCCCCATGATCCCTATGGGTGCCCTATAGAGCCCTATGAGCCCCATGTCCCTTTGGGTGCCCCATGTCCCTATGGGTGCCCCATGGGCTGTCCCCATGTCCCTATGGGTGCCCCATGTCCCTATGGGTGCCCCATAGAGCCCTATGGGTGCCTCATTGATCCCTATGGAGCCCCATAGAGCCCTATGGGTGCCCCACTGAGCCCTATGGGTGCCCCATTGATCCCTATGGGTGCCCTATAGAGCCCTATGGGTGCCCCATGATCCCCATGTCCCTATGGGTGCCCCATTGATGTCCCTATGGGTGCCCCATGATCCCTATGGGTGCCCCATGATCCCTATGGGTGCCCCATAGTCCCTATGTGTGCCCCATAGCCCCCCTATGCCTGCCCCATAGTCCCTATGGGTGCCCCATAGTCCCTATGGGTGCCCCATAGCCCCCCTATGGCTGCCCCATAGCCCCCTATGTAGCCCCATAGCCCCCTATGGCTGCCCCATAGATCCCCTATGGCTGCCCCATAGCCCCCCTAGGGCTGCCCCATAGCTCCCTATGTAGCCCCATAGCCCCCCTATGTGCCCCATAGAGCCCCCCTATGGCTGCCCCATAGCCCCCTATGTCTGCCCCATAGATCCCCCTATGGGTGCCCCATGCCCCATAGCCCCCCTATGCCTGCCCCATAGATCCCCCTATGGCTGCCCCATAGCCCCCCTATGGCTGCCCCATAGCCCCCCCTGTAGCCCCATAGATCCCCCTATGGCTGCCCCATAGATCCCCCCCTATGGCTGCCCCATAGATAGATCCCCCTATGCCCCTGCCCCATAGCCCCCCTATGGCTGCCCCATAGATCCCCCTATGCCTGCCCCATAGCCCCCTATGTAGCCCCATAGCCCCCCTATGGCTGCCCCATAGATCCCCCTATGTCTGCCCCATAGATCCCCTATGGCTGCCCCATAGATCCCCCTATGGCTGCCCCATAGATCCCCTATGGCTGCCCCATAGCCCCCCTATGGCTGCCCCATAGCTCCCTATGTAGCCCCATAGCCCCCCTATGGCTGCCCCATAGATCCCCCTATGGCTGCCCCATAGATCCCCCTATGGCTGCCCCATAGCCCCCCTATGGCTGCCCCATAGATCCCCTATGGCTGCCCCATAGCCCCCCTATGGCTGCCCCATAGATCCCCCTATGTCTGCCCCAATGGTCTCGCCCGGGCAGGGCAAGGGCGGGTCAGGGGGGCGTGGCCTGGGCCCGGAAGGGGGCGTGGCCTGGGGCGCTCACCTGACCCCGCCCACACCTGGCCAACATGGCCGCCGTGCTGACCGCGCTGCTGCTGCTCGGTGGGGGCAATGGGGGGGGAATTAATGGGGTTATTAATGAGGAATTAATGGGGAATTAATGGGTAATCAATGGGGTTATTAATGGGGAATTAATGGGGAATTAATGGGGTTATTAATGGGGAATTAATGGGGAATTAATGGGTTAATTAATGGGGTAATTAATGGGGAATTAATGGGTTATTAATGGGGTAATTAATGGGGAATTAATGGGGGAATTAATGGGTTTATTATTGGGTGATTAATGGGTTATTAATGGGTAATTAATGGGTAAATAATGGGTTATTAACGGGTAAATAATGGGGAATTAATGGGGTAATTAATGGGGTGATTAATGAGTAATGGTGATTAATAGGTAATTAATGGGAAACTAATGGGGTAATTAATGGGGGATTAATGGGTAATAATGGGGTGATTAATGGGTAATTAATGGGGTAATTAGTGGGGATTTAATGGGTAAATAATGGGGGATTAATGGGGAATTAATTTATAATTAATGGGTAATTAATGGGGTGACTAATGGGTAATTAATGCGGAATGAATGGGGTAATTCATGGGGCATTAATGGGGGAATTAATGGGGTAATTAATGGGTACTTAATGGGGTTTTTTAATGGGTAATGGGAATTAATGGGGTGATTAATGGGTAATTAATGGAGTTATTAATGGAGTTATTAATGGGTAATTAATGGGGTAATTAATGGGGAATTAATGGGGTTATTAATGGGGTAGTTAATGGGTAATTAATGGGTAATTAATGGTGGATTAATGGGTAATTAATGGGTAATTAGTGGGGAATTAATGGGGTAATGAATGGGGAATTAATGGGGTAATTAATGGGGAATGAATGGGGTAATTAATGGGGCATTAATGGGGGAATTAATGGGTACTTAATGGGGTTTTTAATGGGTAATGGGTGATTAATGGGGAATTAATGGGGTGATTAATGGGGTAATTAATGGGGTTTTGAATGTGTAATTAATGTGTAATTAATGGGGTGATTAATGGGTAATTAATGGGGTTATTAATGGGCAATGAATGGGTAATTAGTGGGGTAATTATTAATGGGTAATTAATGGGTGATTAATGGGGCAATTAATGGGTAATTAGTGGGGTAATTAATGGGGGAATTAGCGGGCTTAATGGGTAATTAATGGGGTAATTAATGGGGAATTAGTGGGGATGGGGTAATTAATGGGGTAATTAATGGGTTTCTATGGGGTCTCTGTGGGGTTTCTATGGGGTCTCTATGGGTCTCTATGGGTCTCTGTGGGTCTCAGTGGTTCTCTATGAGTCCCTATGGGGTCTCCATGGGTCCCTATGTGTCCCTATGGGGTCTCTATGGGTCCCAATGTGTCCCTATGGGTCTCTATGGGTCCCAATGTCTCCCTATGGGTCCCAATGTGCTCCCTATGGGTCTCTCTATGGGTCCCAATGTCTCTCTATGGGGTCTCTATGGGTCCCAATGTCTCTCTATGGGTCTCTATTGGGTCCCTATGGGTCCCAATGTCTCTCTATGGGTCTCTATGGGGTCTCTATGGGGTCCCTATGGGTCCCAATGTCTCCCTATGGGTCCCTATGGGGTCTCTATGGGTCCCAATGTGTCCCTATGGGGTCTCTATGGGTCCCAATGTCTCTCTATGGGTCCCAATGTGTCCCTATGGGGTCTCTATGGGTCCCAATGTCTCCCTATGGGTCCCTATGTGTCCCTATGGGTCTCTATGGGTCCCAATGTGTCTCTATGGGTCCCAATGTGTCTCTATGTGTCCCTATGGGTCTCTATGGGTCCCAATGTCTCCCTATGGGTCCCTATGTGTCCCTATGGGTCTCTATGGGTCCGAGGGGGGGTCCTATGGGTCCGGGGGGGTCCTTATGGGTCCCAATGTCTCTCTATGGGTCCCTATGGTCCCCTATGGGTCCCAATGTCCCTCTATGGGTCCCAATGTCTCTCTATGGGTCTCTATGGGTCCCAACGTGTCTCCGCAGGCTCCGCCCCCGGCTCCGCCCCTTTGCACGTCCTGGGTCCTCCCCGCCGCACGGTGGCGCTGTTGTTCCAACGGGTGCTGCTCCCGTGCCGCTACCGCCCCGTGGCCACGCCCCCTCCCGCCTCGGCCACGCCCCCTCTGGTCACGTGGACCTTCCTGCCGCCCTGCGGGGGGGGGATGGAGGGGGAGGGGGAGGGGGATGAAGGGGGGGGAGGGGGGAGGGGGGCGTGGTCTTGCCCTGGGGGCGGGGCTCGGCCCCATCGAATCGTGGCCTCCAAGCAGGGGGAGGCCGTGAGCGTGGGGGAGCGGTACCGGGAGAGAGGGGTCAGCATCCAGGGAGGTGAGGGGGCGCTTGGGGGGCGGGACTATGGGGGGGCACTTGTGGGGTGGGACTTATGGGGGGGGACTTATGGGGGGCACT